GATTTTTCGTTAGAGCGCTTTTATATTATGATATGGTTGAATATTCTCCACATTTTAAAAATATTTGGAATTATACAGGGTGCGCTCACGAAGTAGGGCGCCAAAATAGTACATTTTTTTAAATGGAACCCCCTGTATTTGAATGCATTTTTGAATTCTACGTGTAATTGTACGTCTTTTTTATAATATGGTTAATATCCGAAATAATTCCAAGATAATTCGATATTTAAGAAAAATTGGCAATTTGCAAGCGTCAGTATATATTGTTAAAATTATTACTTAAATTTTGATTTCAGGTTTTATATCTTATCCTGGGTTAAGTAAAAATCAAATAAATACATCTACTATGAAACATTAAAAATATAGCTTACAGGGTGATTTTTTTTGGTAGGTCCAAAGTGCAAAAGTTCAAATTAAAAAATCTCATTTTTTTAAATGGAACACCCTGTATATGTTTCTGTCATCATTTAGCTCCTCCAAAAACCTTCAACTTTTGATAATAATGTCCTATACCTATCTCTGATAGTTTAAGAAATATCTTGGTTTTCCTGGGTTTTATATTCTAACGTTAAATAAGTTATATGTATATAATTTACATAAAGTGAGGTGGACATGCAAAAAAAGGCAATTTTTATCTATCTCGTTCAAAATGAAAATCATATCGATTAATCTATTTTTCAAACAATTTATTTTAAGTTCGAAAACTGATTGACTAATTATTACAATGATCATGTTAAACGGAGCACAAGTGCAGACCAAACGTGACAGCTACAAATATGTGTCTCGAAAGTGAAGTAACCAACAAGAGAAAATGACGAGGATTTGTCTCCATCAAAAATTTATCAATAGGAGATGTCGAATTTATTTGATTGGGGTTATGAATTCGTTAAAGAGATACCTTCATTGGGTATACGATGAAAAGGACATAACCGAATTAGAAAGTAGGTACTGTCCATGGATTAATACGTAATGTGACGTGAACTGAGATGGCAGTGCTTGTATAAAACTGGGAAGATGCCAAGGAAAGTAATAAAGAAATTACCCTAAAATATAGGGGTATATTCGTCTGCAACAAAAATGAATATCACTTCATTAAACTTATTCAAGTTTCCGCCAATATTTCCATTACCTGTATCAAGACTATTAATTTGAAAATGAATATAAACCCCAATGAATCCCAAAATGAAATTTGAAAGAATCACTTGCAAACCTTTAAAATCAGTTTTGATCCAACAGTTAACGTACAAAAACTATATTTTCCTGAACTTACATTTAAAACCGATAACCCGAAAAAACTTAGTAAGATCACAAAACAGGTCCTGTTAAACTAAGCGTTGTACTTAGTGATGTGGAATTTTCTTATAGAATGTGGCCTGTAGAATCCATAGTTTCAAACAGTTCCAAGATTGGGGTACTAGTTCAAAAGTTACAGCCCTTTGAATTTTTTTTTCGAAATTGGTTTCTATTCTATAACTTTTCATTGAGAAGTCCCATCGAAAAAGTACGAATTGTTTTGGATTCTACGCACCAAAATTAATAAGGAAATGTGTTTCCCCGAGAAATTTTGGCGCAGTCGATTTTTGGTAAAAAAGGAAGGTTATATACACTGCCTTTTTTTGAGCCCCGAAAAAAAAATTGTCTCAGATCGACCCGGAAAAACAATTCTTATAGAATGTGGCCTGTAAAATCCATAATTTCAAACAGTTCCACGATTGGGCCTACTAGTTCAAAAGTTACAGCCCTTTGAATTTTCTTTCGAAATTGGTTTCTAGTCCATAACTTTTGATTGAGAAGTCCGATCGAAAAAGTACGAATTGTTTTAGATTCTATGCACCAAAATTAATAAGAGAAAGTGTTTACTCGAGAAATTTTGGTGCAGTCGATTTTTGGTCAAAAAGGAACACTGCCTTTTTTTGAGCCCCGAAAAAAAAATTGTCTCAGATCGACCCGGAAAGAAAATTTTATTATAGAATGTGGCCTGTAGAATCCATAATTTCAAACAGTTCTAAGATTGGTCTACTAGTTCAAAAGTTACAGCCCTTTGAAATTGGTTTCTATAGTAATGTGGATTGTAAAATAACGATTTGTAAGTTACATAAAAACGATTATATTACGCGTAACTTACAAGAGGTCGGTTTTTTTATGTAATTTATGTCTTTTATGAAATTTACGTAACTTACGTTTTTTATTTAAAAAACTGTAATTTTTGTAAGTTACATAAATGTAATACCTATTTGATACATTTTGATCGGTACTACAACAGACCATCAACGGTACTACCAACGTAAACGATTCACCGTTGAATCTAGTTTGGTTTAATGAAGATGATACACCATCTAATTAACGATCTGGAACTTCTTCCTCCAAACGACGCGTGATGGCGAAATACCTACTGCTTGGGTAGTTTATTTTAATACATCAAAATATCTAATTTAACAAGTGTTTTTGTTTTCAAACACTCACAAAATTCAAAAATGTTTATGGAATATTAAAAAAAACATAAAAAACATAAATTACAGGTAATTTTACAAAAATATTTGTAAATTACGTAAAAAACATAAACAATTGGTAATTTTACACGTAATATTACGCACTTAAAAAAAACGTGTAATTTAACATCACTAGTTGATTTGGGAAAAGCTTTATAAAAACGAACGTAGCGGTAACTTAGCAAACGTTTTATTTAATTAATAGTTATTCTCTTCGAGTATCTCTTATAAGAAGTTTCTATATACGTGTCGCGGTGGTCTATAGCAATTTTTAATTTTTTGACTTGCGCAAATTACTAATTGCAATTAAAAGTTAAAGGACTAAAGAAGCAAAAAAAATTATAGTGGTATCTTGTAAGGGCGTTTTGATTTTCGTAACTTTTATGTAAATAACTCCTTAGTTAGGTACGACTTGAATAAAACACACACAGAAGGCAAAACGCCATCTCAATTATAATTATTGATTAAGCATCCCATATGTACCTACTTCGGAAAATGTTCGCTGCGTCCACTCATTAATATTACAACCATGCTGGGGTTGGGACATTAATTTACAGCTGTTAGCAACGATAAGTTCCAGAAATAGGAATTTGATACTGATGATAGACATTCTCTCCGTTATATAATTGCCAGCTAATGACTATTGAATTATTTTTTGCGAATTAAAAGCTAAAGCTTGGCCTTTAGGTCAAGGATCTACTACTAGAGCGAACCAATCGTTCTTTATAGATTTTTGCCATCTAAAACACACAGTGATTTTATTCCCATCGGCGATTTGCAAATTATACTGAAAATTAGGAGCGTGTTATGGAAATCTAAATCATAGCCCTAAACGCCAGGTGTAAATTGTTTATAATTACTTAGCATAATAAACTAGACAGATTGGTTGTTTAGATTGGTGTCGAAATAACTTAAATCCCTATTAAGAAATATTTATAATCGCTTTATTTGCTTGATATTTTTATATAGCGCTCTAATTATATTATTAATTTCAATGTGCACGTTACGTTTGTCAGATGGCCAGGGAGGAACCACACAACCAACATTTTCTGTGGATTCTTTAGGCCTTTGATGGAATTTTTGGAAAAAGCAGCAGAAAATTAATATATACATAAGCAAACATACCTAAACTGTAAAGGTATCTGAAACAGAATAAAAATTTTGCAAGGCTTTAAAACAATGAAAACAATGCTTTTCATTGGTGCCACCCATCAAAAAGGAATTTTCCTTGATCTGATTCCAATTTGTAGGATTATGCGTTTTTAATTAAAAAAATCATGTTTGTTCGATCTCGCGCGTTAAGAAACTTTTCATTTGTTAGTACACTAAAATTTGATACAATTCTATCGGACGGTTTTCTTTTTACGATGCTCGAAAAGTTAGCTATAGATAAAAGACTCAAAAAATAGCTTTTTTCGCGCACACAAGTTGGCCAAATATTTGTTACATCACACAACTTGTTTCTTGCTGTTACATTTCTTTGACAGTACAAAAGATGTATAGAAGAATGTACAGGGTATTTCAAATTCGATGGCTCACCATTGGTATCTCCGTAACGGTGAAAGATACAGTGTAGGTTAGGTAGTTACCCCTTTTTGTTATTAAAAAAACACAATTGAAATTTTTGAAAAATTTTTAAAAATAACTGAGATGTCATCAAAAAACGGAAAATGTCAAATTTAGTCTTCATTTTTGGCTACTACTTTCTTATTTCTTATGGACGCCATATTGGATTTTTACAGAATGTAGCTTCTACATCTACCGTGTAATGGATATTCCAATGGTGAGCCACGAATGTCAACCACCCTGCAGAGAATAGAGCGAGTATCCCCAGAGTGGGGGAGGAGCAGTAAGATTTTTGAAAATTTAGTGCGAAATTTCAGAGCATTAAATTCGCCCAATTATATGTGGTCCAAAATGACAATTTAGAAACAAAGACTAAGAGAAAAACCTGAACCATCAATGTTTTTGTTTCATAGCCTTAGCTTTTGCGACAATTTTGCCTTATTGTCAATTTTAGAGTGGTAGTATTTAGTAACCATGCAAATGTGATAGATGTATATTTTTAAAATCTCAAGCATTTTTAAACTATAAAATAAAAAATGCGGGTCCGTATTTAAAAAAATAAAGTTGAAGATGGTCCCAAAAAAACCGAAACGTTGAACTTAAAATCAAAAAAGTTGCAATGGGTTCTACAGAGTCACAAAGAAAACACAACAAAATACCGAATTTCAGTTTTTTCCCCGTTATCACCGAAAATATTCCGATTCCTTCAATTTCTAAGTAGCGTTTATTTAACAGATTCTTACTTTTCCGAGATCCCATTGGTAAACCTCGAATTTGAAATAATCTGTACATAATTCCTGAACCGAATTTTGATGCTGAAACCTCCCTTGATGATAGAGTCAAGATCAAAATAGTTCCGCTACCTCCAAAAACTACATTTGCTCAAAATAGACAGATAGACATGATTGATTATGTAAATATACTAATTACAGTTTTTTGTTGTAGATTGTATGCCACACCGGAGGACGATGGCATAGCCATTCGTACCACCCGGGTTGCCGAGAGCATGGCCAGAGAGCGGGCGGTCACCTGGGCGTGGGCTGTGTTGTCCGGGCTATGCGCTTTGGCCAGTTGTCAGGTAAAGTACACATCGTGCGTAATATGCATGCGATTAGGAAATTAATTTTCATTAATTAATTAGTTGTATTTATTAAATTGATCCACTACTGCTTTTAAAGAAATGGCATTTTGGTATGTTACCAACTTTATAAAAGTTCAGTTTTGCGGGCAAATTTAAACTGTCCGCAATTATTTTGGATCACCCGGTATACGTTTTCTTTAAGAAAATAGTAGCGCGCCTTTTAAAACTTTACCACCAAAACCATTTATCACGTTAATTAGCAAAACAGGTTACTTGATGACTAATGACAATTGTAATAAAGTTCAACGCGCTGATATAAATCCAGTACACAGCAACAGTGCAAATTACAGCAAAGCTATTGCCATATAATTACCTTAATCCTATACAAATGACAATAATTCAGTGAAATTCCGCGAAATTTAATCATAGTACAACCACTTACCTTAAATTAGTTGGGCTGTAGCCCTTGGAAGCCTGAAACAAAATAAAATTATCAGTTAAATGTTTTTCAAGTGGTGTTGTTACTAATGGACAAACAATAGTTAAATAGCCAATTTAGTGAACCTTTAACTAATGTGAAAAGTAAATCATTAGAATCATGATGATATTTTACAATCAGCAGAAAGATAAAATGGACAAAAAATTTAAATTTGAAGTAAATAATAGGTTAGGTGCATGAAATGGCAGAATAACACCATAATAGACCATAAATAGAAATTCCTGAAGTTATCTATAACTTTAATACCGGTAGAGAAAAAGGAGACCTAGGCGGATATGCTATTGCATACCCTCTCCAATTCCTCTACTAGGAGATGGTCGATTACCATAATATTATTTATATAGTTATCTCCGGTCGTTTTCGATAAGAATCCTTATCGCTGCATAAGCACGTGTTATCGGTGAGTTAAGCAGATGCGTTGAGAGTAAAGAAAACACTTAAGGAAATGGAGGCGGAAGTTGAAAAGAAAGGGAAACGATTTTAAATAGAAGAGACGGACGTTAATTGTGCCTTGCTTTATTCTCGCGTTCTTTGAGCGTATTATTCCAGATAGTTCGTCTTTTCAGTTGGAGAGATGGCCAGTCAGTTGTTATAGAAGAAAGTTAGAAGTTGAATGGTACGTCGTGATAAGAGTGAATGTTTTCAGAAGTGAATTTTTCAAACTAGTTGTTTCCCAGTACCCGTTAAAGGGAGTTTTGTCTACCATCAAAGCCCCGATAATTCTAATTGCATCGAGGTCAGTGTCGTCCGTATCGAGATTCGAGTGCTATAATTTAAGTTGAGAAGTGAACCTGCTGTTCCGGAGATTTTGGACTATTAACACTTTGAGGTAATTAAAATCGCTTGTTGCGTGGTATGTGTTATTCAGGCCCTGAGTGCTATTATTTCTTACCGTTTATTTGGTTGATTATGTCCATTAAATTTATTTCACCTGTAAACGGTTAGTTTTCTATTTACTCGAGTCCAAATTACGACCCAGATAAGAGTTGATAGAGTCAAGTTAAATTTCGTACTCAGAATATTACATCGGGTGTTAATTAAAAATTTCTTAATTCTTTGAACTTTTAGGGGCGGTTAAGACTGCTGAATTTCTCAATTTAATATAATTTATGTCAATATCCAGGTTGCAAATTAATAGTAAAAAGCGTTTAAGAAAGTTGGTTGAGTGCACGTGGCAGGAAATTACAGGCGTTTTTTGTGGTCTAAAAAAGGCGCTACATTCCCGATGGAGTGACACATGTGATTCCTGTCGGGAAGTTGAACGGCGACAAATTGTTTCCACTTGCAACTGCGTAAACTAAAATTACAAAAGTATATTCACCTGATATATAATATCAGAGTAACACGTATGCCACTATCCTTGATCCTATACCATGACACTGGAAGAGTTGAAGTAGTTTTCAATTTCCATATGGACATCTTCTCCCCTCCCATCCGGGTGAAACGTTCTACCTTTTTAGGGCCATACGCTAAATAGAAGAACTTTGATCCTATGGGACTTTATCTTCGGAGGAAAATATTTAGAAGGTACCGTAAAGCATGGGATTATTGTATTATTTGTTAAAATTGGAATTGAACATGATCAATAGCTCGTATGTGGTAGGAATCTTCTTAAGTATCCACGAGGAAAAAACACCAAGTCTTCACCACAATATAACTTATTTATTAAATATAATGTGGTGAAGACTTGGTGTTTTTTTTCCTCGTGAATACTTAAGAATTGTATTATTTGTTGTTTAATCGCAATGGACCCAAAGGGACCTATCTTCGGAGGAAAATATTTAGATGGTACCGTAAAACATTGGATTATTTACCCGTGCAGTCAGTGCAATCTTTAAGCTTCAAAGGAATTCCCGTTGGATAATCCGTACATAAAATGTATGTCCCACCATTTCATACATTAAGGAAAAATAAGCACCAGTTTTTAAACTTTTCTTTTGAATTGCGGTAGGCTTCATTTTTCGAATATTAGCTTCTCACATTTCAAATTAGAATGTTTTTCTTACTCGCGTTTAGGAATTTAGGAACATATGCATCTAAGAGTTCCTAGGCAAAACAGTTGCAACTTCCAACCCTCGGTTTATTTGGGGAAAAAAATGCTTTGGTACCCTGTACCGCCCGATTTTTTTCCACAACTCAAATATAACACCTGTATATATAATAGTAGTTGTATTCGTGTACGGTATACAGACATCGAGCTTTATTTAATATGACAGTCGACAAGCATTAAATGAATGAATAATTTTGCGAGATTTGGGAGGCACTAGGGTCATCAATAGTTTACTGCATTTCCCGCGGGAAAATTCAACCCCACTTCCTGTACATTTGCAAATCACGTTATTTCGGATGAATTAATAAAGATTGCGTTTGTGAAGGCAAACCAGGAATTTACGACGAGAAACGCGATTAAAGCGTAAAAGTACACAGAATGAATGCCGCGCACGCCGTAATATTACGAGAAAAAATTAGCCCTAATGTCTACACGCTTCCAGTTTATGAAAAAGAGATTAATTGCGCTTGTTTGCCACGCAACTGAAAATACTAACCCAATTTTGACGGAAAACGTCCGTAATATTCGCGAGATGAAAATTAGTAGCTTATTTACGTATCCACCCAACTCCGTCTCGTTTACACGGAAGCCTAAACACAATATCTATATGCACAACTTATCTTTGTCTAATAACCTAAATTCCTCCTGCCTCGGAAAACACTAACTTATCGCCATCATCCTCCTTTGATCCTATTTACCCTCCGTCAGACTGATATTTAATTTTCCAAACGTGCCTTAAATAGAACGGTAGTTTGCGATTTTCTCTTTCGAGCGTCGTAGTTTTCCGAATTATTTTAATTCAACTCACTTTTCAGGTCCAGCAACAGTGTCCGGCACGACAAGAAATAGCACCATGTTCGTGCCAGATGAAGAAGAACGGTTTAGATATACTCTGCGAATTTACGGATCAACAGCACATAGATAATGCGATGAGTGTTTTAAAGGGGAAGTCGCTGGTGATATTTTACCTCAAGTTGCGTCATAACAACTTAAAGAAACTTCCCGGCTTTGTGTTCTTCGGTCTGGATATACGCCACCTAACGATACACAATAGCAGCCTTTCGGTTGTCGAGGAAGCTTCTCTCAGTTCGATAGGTGAGTTTTTAGTTATTTATGTTCAAAGTTTAACGTTATATACTCTGCGGAGTTATGTATAATTGGGGGAGGGATGAAATTGAGCGCTTCCTTTGTTTTACTGCGGGGAAAACGCTCGCTTGAGGTCGTCCCATAAAAACCTGTCATTAAAGTTTAGGGTTATAATGCTGCGGAGTATGTTTTATTGTTGTACATGTAAAGAATTACTTTCTTTTTTTTACTAATGGCCGGCGAGAATTCAGGGCATGTATTCACATAAAGCAAAGAGGTTTAGCAACCAACCTAAACTAAACACAAGAGGAAATAGTGCAGATGATTACATCCACTCAAGTATTCATCAAAAGGATTTATTCTCGTAACACCACTGAATCGAGCATACAAACACGGTATACCTAGAAGCACAGATTAAAATAAAACAGTAAAAGTCATAAAAGTTATAAAATACAAATAGCGCAGTTCAAAGAGATTCGCAATCAGCAATTAACAGCAAGTTTACTGTATGAAGTTGTACATAATGCGGATTTAGGTAAAACTATATGGAGAACAGGGGTATAAAGTCACACACTACATGAAGCTATTAAGCTTATTGAAATTTTCGCAGGACTAAAATGACACTAGATAACTTCGGGTTTAAAATAGTGAGAAACGCACCGAACAGGAAACCGATGTATTTGGATAATTACCCAGTTGGTGAAGAGTTGGATATACGAATAGTTGATGTAACTATTATCAAAAGATCAATAATTATCATGAAGAGAAGTACCTATTTGGCAGACTTTTCAACTATCTTGATGTAATTAAGAAAAAAACAAAATTCAGTTACTTCCTTCAACAAGATTTCCCTTTTAGTCCAGTCAAATTACGGTTTGGGCTGGATGTTGTCACTTCACTCAACGACACCAAGCGCATCCTATGTAAAAAAATCCGCTGATTCCGAAAATCATAGTCCCCCTGGCCGGAAACGCCCGGAACATATTGTTATAAACAAAAAACGAAGAAAAAATGGGAAAATGTCGTGTTTTTTCACATTTGACTTCGAGTATCTCGTTAACTATTGCTCGGAGGGAAAAAATGAATAGAAATGAACTTGTTTAGAATAAAATTTTGTATAGTATACAGTTGGTCCGGAACGCTCATGTTCAACTGTTATTGTTATTTATGGAAAAATGTAAAAAAGTAATCTCGAAAATTAACACTTTGTTATTACTAAGTAAAATTCATCCGATCTTTTTGAAAATCCGTATTTAATAACTTCTTTTGATAACAAAACAATATGACAAACCAAATCACCGTAGGTTTCATACTCATTGATTAATTAAATAAACAAGTCGAAAAAGGGATGCTTTGTCGCTTAAACTGGGGGAGTACAAGAGTGTTCCCAATTTTTTTATACATTGTTTATCTAATTAATCAATGAGTATGAAACCTACGGTGATCTGGTTTGTCATATTGTTTTGTTATCAAAAGTAGTTACCAAATACGGATTTTCAAAAAGATCGAATGAATTTTACTTAACAATAACAAAGTGTTAATTTTAGACATTACTGTTTTTACATTTTTCCCTAAAAAACAATAACAGTTGAAAATGAGCGTTCCAGACCAACTGTATCTTATAGAAAATTTTATTCTAAACAAGTTCGTTTCTATTCATTTTTTCCCCCAGAGCAATAGTTAACGAGATATTGGCAGTCAAATGTGAAAAAATACGACATTTTCCCATTTTTTCTTCGTTTTTTGTTTATAACAATATGTTCGGGGCGTTTCCGGTCGGGGGACTATGATTTTCCGATTCAGCGGATTTTTTTACATAGAATACGCTTGGTTTCGTTCAGTGAAATGACAACATCCAGTTTATATTACTTTTAGAGTTAATTTGACTGGACTATTTTCATACAATTCGCATTTATGAAGACACTTTCCTTGTTAAAAATCGGTTATTGCAAATAAATAGGCTGACTTTGATTTTCTTTCCGAACTCCTTTTGTAACTTGTTACTCGCGTGAGTATTTCCGTTTCGCGAAATCTCAAACTTAGTTTTGTGATATCCGAAAAAATAGTAACTCTCGTTCTGGTGATCTAGGTACGAAATTTATCGCAGCAACAGGAATGGTTACTCTTATTTATTCAAAAATTTAAAAAAAAAGGTACCTTTTGAGCAGTACGGTTAACTCTCTCATAGCCCGAAACCGATTCACGCAAAAAATTTACTTTGGTGATCGCGCTGGCAGCCCAAATCCGAATGAATGTAAAATCTCCCCGGAATAATTCATACTTAATTCCTTTTTAATTAATTGACGCCCACAAAGCAATAAAAATTTGAGTTTATTCCTAATTTATTACATTAAAAATTGACGTGTGCGATCATATTTTAGAAAAAAGCTTTGATTTTATTCCAGATTAGAGACTCGCTCTGTATAACCTTTGAAAAGAATATCTGTATAGACTACATGCCAACATTAAAATACTGGACATTCTAGATTGGATTTTACAGAATTTAAATCACGTCTAAATTGACCAACGCGCCCCAATTCGGGAGTTTATTGTTATTTCTGAATTAAGCACGACCACACATACAAAATGTATAATCATTCACTATTTCACTCATCCATAGGTAGGTACTCAAACCAAAGCAAAAAATGAATTGCATCCATCACTGTCATGGTAAATTTTCATGTAAATTCTAGGGTTTATGAATAGTATTGCACACGAAATATCAAACTCTAAATAAAGCTTTGACTTTCATTTGTTAATAACTAGAAGCTATTGACTGAATTCTCTAATGCTTCGATGTGGTTAATTTGCAAATGATATTCTTAAAACAGTATCTCTGTAATGTAGCTGTTTGTGAAAATAGCACAATCTTAAAAACGCGTACGACGGAATATTCAATGCACAAATTTCGCGGTTACGTTAAATCATTGCTAGAAAATTCTGCATCAATCATCTACCTATATCAAAGCGTATCAAATCGTAGTGTGTAGAAAAAAACGTTGAAAGGGAAATTAAAGTAGTAATGAATATCTTTCTTCGGAAATATCGTTCATCTGGCCGTTAAATTTAACTGATAGTTAATTTCCATAGAACTACATTTTTAAATGTAGTTATGCACTAAACTATCGGCTATTCCAAAAAGATCACGAAACGGTGAGACGCCATTTTTTAAGATGGCGGCTTTAGTACGAGGTTTACGAGTCACCACGTTCAGTACGTAAACCAATGCCCCACTCTACCAAAGTACTGTTAATATACAAGACATATTCCAGCAAAAGCGTTGGAAGATAAAGCTGAGAAAACTGTAAGGTGGTACTTATTTGGTACTAAATCAAGGCAGGCTGCGTAGGAGAATTGAATTTGCATCATCGTCAAGGAGAGTGAAAGACTTTCCAATAATATTTTTCTTCGAATCTATTTTCGTGGACTGTTTCAAATGAGGTCCTGAGCATAAAAAAATAAAAGGTCTTGATTGGTTTGCCGAAATATCCTACACATGTTTTATTTGATTCGCTTATACATTCGAAAAAATTGTTCACTTTAAGCATAACTGAAAGATTTCGTTCAATGACTATCATAGAAGCGATTGAAAGATACGTTAATGGAAACAAAATTCAAATTTGAATAGTCTGCGTAAATTCACTTTTATATGTAAAAGTAGACCCTTTATCAGCGATAATGCTAATGGGCGTTCCATAAATAACTTTGAATTTGGAGCGGTATTATAATCAAAGCGGCGCGTCTATACGATTACACGTGAACACGCCAAAAATTTCTATCTTCAACCCTTTTAATGTTGCCAACATTTTCGCTTTCCTGTAATGGACTTCTTGTGCGTTGTAAATTTTTGGAGTATTTTGGAAGATTCCGTAAATGAATGGACGGCGTCTTTATTTTGATTGAATAACATTGGACAATTTTCCATGAATTTATTTTCCACGAAACAAATAGGGTTTAAATATGTTGCAGAAGGCAGTCTATCCCTCAGACACTGGATTTCTTGGGTCGACAGTTTCATAGCCCCAAATTTTGTTTAAATGGGGTGTTTCAAAGTAGCGGTTAGTAATTAATCTAAATACAGTTGGCGCTACGGTTAAAATAAACTGATGTAGATGGTAGAAGTGAATAAAAACGGATTTGGATGGATTTTCTATAGATCCGTAATAATTTTAAGTGTTACTGTTTCCGGCGTTAACCTTTGACTCGCAAAAGTCATTAGATTATGAGAACATATTTGATTTAGGATGATTGTGTATGGAAACTGACAACAAAATTGTCATTATTTGAAAAAAATAACTACATGCTAAATCTGTTGTTGATACAAAAAAGGCGATCCATGCAAAAGCGACAATTTGCGGAAACATGATGTATGGAAGTTTACTTTAAAAATTTGGTATTGTGTTCAGTCTCAGAATACTTTGGATTCAACAGAGTAATTAAGTAATAAATTTGCGGTGTAAGGTTTTCAGTCCTCCATGTGACAGAAGTGACGGTCTATCGCCTTACATTCTATTCCAAATCTACTAGTTTTCATACAGAGATTGAACAGCCTGTGAAAATTGGATAGTTAGTCAAATAGAAGAAAGAGGCCTCAAAGGATGGGAGTGCTAAGAAATATACTGGGTGTAAGCACCTAGGAAAGCAGAAGGAGAAGAACGAATTCGGAATTGTATGACTCCTTACTATGTGCGATCATTGCATAATTGAAAAACTGAAAACTACAGATTTAAAAAAATCTATAAAAGCTATGACAAAAAGTTCAATTTGAAAATGTCTTATTTGTATAGGATAAACTGGAACAGGATGTCAAAAATAGAATCGACATGGCAGTTAACCTATAGTTGTCCCCGTCGTTGATATTACCCAACGCCAAAAATAAATTCAAACCCCTATTTTGCAAAGGCATGATCGCATTCTCTGTCATGTGATTTAGTCTACATCGGCGAAGAACGAACGACATGGTCGGGGTATATAATGATAGCTCTAACTCCGATGTTGATGAGCATTCT